GTACTTCGTAATACTCCATATTAAAATAAAAGCAAAACTACACTTATTTCGATCTTTGTAAGGATTTAATTTCTGTCTTGATTAGAGCATTTACAATGTTTAAATTTGTTTAGTTTGTGTAAAGTAATGAATTCGTTGTAATACTTAAAAAAGGTCTAAAAATCTTAATAAGACAACTAGTTTTTCGTTTTGCAATAGTTTTGACCCATAAAAAATGATCAAATTTTGATAAAAGATAGAAAAAATGGCCCATCTATCACCACTGGACTTTTCATTTCCAAAAAAGGGACAACTTTTACATTTTCCAAAAATGTGACTCGTGTCCAACCAAGCAGCTCATCTTCTCCATCCAACATCATCGCACATCATCACATCTTCTTCATCGAACATCATCACACATCATCGCAGAGCCATCCTCGCTGCATCCTCCCTCCAGCGAATTGAAGCATCCATCGAACATCATCGCACCGCCATCACCCTAGGTCACCGGCTCCACCTTCAAGTTGCCGCCTCTGTCCGCATCCCACGTCGCCGTCTCCACCGGTATTCTACGTCCCAGGTGAGTTGAAGGAGGAGGTGTGACGGCTGGGTTAGGTGATTAGCACCTTCATCATTGTCCTTTTCTTCTTAATCTATGCGATTGGGGGGCTGCATCGCCATCTTTAACATTCCAAATCTGGTGGTGTAGCAACGGTTGGCGGTGGTGCAGATTTGGAATGGTGCTAGGTTTGGCAGTGTACAGGCGGCTGGGGTGGGGAGAGGGCTAGGTAGGGGCGGTGGTGGCCGGAAGCCGGAGATGAACCCCGAAAATGGCAGAGGTGACCGGCAGCGTTGGACAGTGGTGGCAGTAGGAGATGTGCATGGGTGATGTGTCTGGTTCGTTACTATGGGGTGGCGACGGGTGGTGGCCGGCGACAACAGCCGGTGGTGGCTCTGGTGGTGATGTATAGTTGCGCTTGTGACGACAGTCTCTGGCCGGAGGCGGCGGCAGTCACTGACGGTGGTGGTCTCAGTCACTGACCGGAGGACGGTGACGGTCACTATTCGGGGCAACGGTGGTAGTCACTGTGACCGATGGGCGGTCACTGTGACCGATGGGCGGTCACTGTGGCCGGTGGGGCAGTCACTGTGGCCGGTGGGGCAGCCATTGTGCTTGCGAAGTCACTTTGGCCGGAGTCACTTTGCACTGCAGGGGTTAATTGTGATGATGGTCACATTTTTGGAATTTCTACAAACTGATCACTTTTTAGTCTTTCATCCTTATTTTAGTAATATATGCAGACCAAAAGGCCTAAAAGATACGAACGACTCCCTTCATAACATTCATATCTTTCCACTCTCCTTTTTCAACCGTAACGTTATATTCATATCTTTCCATTTCTAAATCTTCTCATCATACGCTCAACAATTTCGAAAATAGTATAATACGACAAGTATTTTTTGGGATTTATCTTTCATTCCAGCACACTATTTCATCATTTTCCCCATCATGCCCTCAATAATTTATATCTTCTTTCACTATTCATAATCCCATCTACTTTTAAATGAGAAGATATGAATGTTACGGATGTAATTTAAAAAGAAGCTAAGACTAGTGTACAATAAAGTTTCTACATTTCTACCGACCGAACACTGACGTAACATCGGGATACTATTGTTTTTAATTTGAAATTGCCATGAAAACTAATGTTGTTCTCCAATGTAGAAGTAAAATCAATGCGATTTTTACGTTTCTACCAATTAACTGTAGCGTACTAGTCTTACATAGTAGTAACAATTTTTATGTTAGAACTTGCTAGGATTTGTTGTTTTTCCTATTTATAAATAACTAGTGTCATATTTGAATAATGTGGTCAATTAAGGCACTAATACTGACATGTTTGGAAAATATAGTCACTTACGACATTTACACTGTCACATTGATATTCTATATTGTCACATTATGACAGTACGATTTTAGAATAACGTAATTTATATATATTGAAAAAATCACATGATTGTTACTCTCATTTCGGGAAATTTTCACTCTATACCGAAAAACTTGTCTGAATTAAATATAAAATGGTTACATCAAGCTAGCTAGAGTAAAATCGGGATCACGTCTGATAAAATTGAAATTCATTAATCAGTTTAATCGACTAAAGTTGCTGAAATCGTGGAGAAACAGTTGATTGTGTATTGGATACACTCATACATCACCATATTGAAGTACCAGTGCATCGTTGACGTCTGATGAATTTCCTTAGTCATAAAAAATATTTATAATAAATTTTATTAATAAAAAATAAAGGAATGGCTATTATAAAATAGTATCATAGGCATTTTCAACAAATTTGTCATAAAAACAACATAAATATTACATACTTTAATTATAACAGAGTTCAAGACATCACATTAAAAGCTAAATTTTTTTATTTACAAATTGGTTAGGCTCATTAGTCAAAAACTGCCTTACCAAATGGTTCTAACTCACATTTCACATATTGTGTTCTGTTAGCTCAAATTGGTGATGTACCTACCAATACACATAAATATACAAAAAAAGAGAGCATGAAATTAGACATATAAGCCCACCAAACTTGAAAATAGTGTGGTGTATATCGTTATCAAAAGTAAAAAATGAATCATAAGGCGTATAAAGGAAAATTAAAAACATCTCTGATCCAGTGTAAAAGTATCAATGGCGCGCATGTGACAAAAGAGATGCATACATAAAGCAATTAATGAATAAAAAGTGTCACACATTATTTCCACGGTGTACAAATTTTAGTTATTTTTTATTCGCGATGTCAATCAAACCGTCTAGATTTGACACTCCGCTTGACATTGTATGTAATTAAAAGAAACAAAAGTTCATTATACCATGGAAAAAGTGAAAAACTTTCTATTAATTTTATTTATGCATCCCTCCCGTCACGCGTGCACCATTGACACTTTTGCATTAGAGATTCTAAAATACATGTGCAAGCTAATTTAGGTGAATGAGACTGATATCCTTGAGCCACATCTTGCTTGATTCTTCATTTGTTCTTTGATCCTTGCACGATACCCGATTAATTTGTTGTTTCTGAATATACAAATCGTATCTTACGTAATTTAGCTCACGAAAATTAGCTTAAACACAATAGACAATCCATTGTGGTGGTCCTTCGGGAACTCAAGTCTTTTTTAGAACGAAGAAAATAATAGGGGGGTGCAATTAAAAAACAGTTTCTAAATATGAATATAAGTGCTCATATTTGATTGAGACAATATATAAGTAGTGACAGATACATAGCTTTTGTCAAGGAGGGACAGAGACTGGTCAATTATGTTTAGCTCGTGTAGATAATTTTTTTAAACGGAGATAGTTTATTCTATGCCGGTTCCAAGGGATGTAAAATTATAATTTATAAGTTTAGTTTCAACCTATTAATACAATCATTGTTTAGTACTATTAAACAATAGTATTCAGCTTTTTGAAAGAAAGACATAACATTGATTACAACTGAATCATCCTTGCACCGTTTATAATTTTCATATTATAAACAGTCAAAAATTCACATTTACAATTAGGATCGTGTCTAACATTACACATCGTGCCACATAATTGTTGTGTCCAAATATGAAGTATTAATATGATGACAATGATTATTGTGATGGTGGTGTAGCAATTTACATGTGCTGTTTGAGATAACTATTACCTCATCTAATAGTTATACGGAGTATTGTTTTATCCGCACAAGGATTGTTTTATCCGCATAAGGGGACACTATTTTTATCCTAAGTAATAATATTAAAGTTCAGGTCGGAAACGGGGGCACTTGCCCCCCCCCCCCCACAAGCCCCCTAGATCCTCCACGGTATATAAGTAATATGCACCTAAGAATATCTGAATTTAATTGATACGAATAAATTTATAATAAAATTATCGGAACAAGAGTAGAGCATAAGAAATTTGAAATAATTAAATATTTATGATTAAAATAAAAATTGTTTACAAAGATGTGACTAGCAGGGCAGAGCTACTATTGATCCAAAGTGTTCACATGAATACTCAAAGCTTTTAAAAATGTCAGAATATACACCAATAAATTTAATATAGTTATTTATTGTTCATTAAAGTTTAAATTGTAAAAGGGTTTGAACACCCAAAATGAGAATTTCATGTCTGCTACTAGTGACTAGTGACTAAAGTAATAATGTAATTATAGTAACTATGTTCAATTTTTTACCATCACATTAATTCGATTAATTATTAATCATATTTGTGTAAATAACTTTTATTTTAGTAATATCTTTGAGAAACCTCCAGTAATTTTTCTCAAATAGAAATTTCACTATCCTTCTGAAAATAAGACTTTTGCATTTCTATTTGTTTTTTTTCACCCATTTACTCTTTTAATTGGATTAAATAACTCCTTCGAATTTTTCCTTTCCACCCAAACTATCAATTTTTGTCTTCTCAGTTTCTTGGTATAGCATATCAAATGTCCAAATAGACCCAGAAAGTATTAGAGAAACAATATTTGAAAATTAAAGTGAGATCTATTCTTGTCATTTTCTGGACAATGAAGTCTTACCAAAGTAAACACATGTTATTTCATGTTTTAATGATAAACAAATGAGGGTGGTTATCTTTTTCGCGAAGCTATAAAAGAATTAGATAAAATGATAAAATAAAATCAAATCTTTGATTTCTCTTTGAATAAATCAAAATGCCAAAGCAAGTAAAATACTTCGTAGGACACACTAGTACAAATTTTTCTCTTATTTCCATCCCCAAAACTCCAAACATAAAAGATCGAGAAAGTTCACGAAATAGTTCTGAAATTCGAAAATAATACTTTTAACTGTAGTATTAGACATTAAAATAACAGTAATTACTATCATTACTATAATATATTTTTCAATCCATAAAAGTAATTATTTCTATTTGGAAAAGATACAACGAACTCCAATTCAGGACCATTTGTTTAAGATATTTGGTAAAGATGATTTGTTTTTAGTCCAAGTGTAGACTTGAAGCTTTTTTGCAGTCGTCCACTTTTTTTCACTTTGCCGTCTAATGCCCCTTCAATAGCGGTTTCCTTTCCTTCCTCTTCAGCCTTTCGGATTTTCAGATTCCTTAATGCGCTTCAGATTCAACTCAGCGTAGACTTCAAGTCCAGTCAAGCTTGCTGGGGACATAACACATGTATATTTTGCTCCTCCGTCTCGATTCTGACCAGTTTTTCCTCCCCAATAGGCAAAAAGGTTTGCTTATGTTTCTTCGTCACTTCATTTACACCGTTAAACTTTTAGTTTCAGTGATTACTTCATTTTTTCGCCATTCTGTATCCCTTCCAAGTTCAGTGTCATTTTCAAGCTTTAAAAGGAAACTTTGTTTTATATTCCATCCATTTGTTGGTTGGACTGCAATATTTAGAGTTTTCACGAGTTATACAAAAGCGAGAGCGAAAAATGTGCAATCGTGAGTGTGATGGTTGAATTTTTTTGACTAGTCTGGTCAGAGCTGCGGAAAATTGAAAATATTTTATATTTAAATGGCTTATTTTTTATTTATCTTAGAACAATTTTTTTTATAGATTCTGAATCTTTGATGATCTATATGAAATGATTTTGAAGGTAGAGTTCTCTCTCTGGTTTACTCTCGTTCATATGGCTTAAGTTTTGCTCTTATCAGAGAGATTTGGTTCGTTTGCTTCCATCTTTGATTATGTGTTGTAGATTATATTGAGGTATGAAATTGCACACTGTTCTAGCACTTCTCTGTGTGTCTTTCCTGTTGGTTGTATACCAAGGATGGGGGTCACTCCACGGGATCCAAGCCACTTTTTTATTATCTTTATTCGTGCATGTGTTATATCTTGTATTGCTTGTCTGAGTTAGCCTATTGATATGTACCGTTCATCCCTTAAATTCCTGCGTCAAGGATACTTACCGCTTAGCATACATCCTTGCTGAAATCAATTATGTGAATAGCTCAATATACCAAATTATTGTTGCTGAGTTATTATTATCTGATGTTTTCATGTTTGATTGTAATTTCAAAGATATCGACCGCATTTCTTTGACTTTTATCACATGAAACTCATCAGTATTCTGTTTCTATATCTGCCGCCTTCCAAAATATTCTAGTGACATGCTGGAAATAAAACTTGAGCATGGATTGGAAACTTAGATTTCTATTCATCTTTCAACTTTCTTTACAAAAGTAGAAGCGCTGGATCTTTTGCTTTTTTGATTTTATACTGGTAAAGTATATTATCAAATTAGTCCTAATGATCAATTGATCACCAACAAAGTGCATACTCCCATTCTTTCAGCATTTTGAGTTGAATCATTATGTTTTCTTCAATTTGGATTCTGGGCGGGTCTTAAATTTATCATCATCACCATCATCACCGTAATCCCAACCTTTTGGGATCAGTGGCATGAAATTTTGTATCAGCTCGTCGAGAAAAGATCATGACATGGTGATAGATCATGGATTGATATCGCAATATCAACTTGCACCATAGAACATGACTGGATGGGCTGATCATTAACTACACAAACTAGATTGTTATTTTGTTAACTGCCTTTACTTCACACATGCATTTGGTAATATGTCGATTCCTAGTTATTACATTGAACAGAGCCATTGAGGACTTACTAATCACTATTGCAGGATTCACTCTTGTACTAATGACTTCTCTGGTCCAGCAAATCTGGAGTTGCCAAGTTAGAATTTAAATGGTTGGATGCTTCTAGGTTTTTGAGTAGAAATGAAGAAGTGGTATGGTGGTGTTTTAACTACCTCCTTTTTAATGTTTATGCTTATTGGGTATTATGTAATCAGAAACCCCTTCAAGGAAAACTACTTCACTAATACCCAGTATGTCAATATGACAAATCCTCTAGAGTGGATAAATGCTATGGCTCCCCCTGCTGCTAACAGTGTGAAAAGTGTTTCTCAAGTGATATCTGCCAAAGTATTAGTCTCTGATCTTTTTTATGAGAGAAACTTTTCAACTGCTGAGAAACAATCTTTGCTTACATGGAACCAATTGAAATACTTAATTAGTCAAGGTCAAGTCCTACCTAATGCTCTAGATGCTGTTAAGGAAGCTGTTGCTGCATGGAACAACCTTATGAGCTCAGTGGAAATGGAAAAACTTCATGCAAATGATAGTTCATCTAAGAGGGGGAAAGAAAAACAGTGTCCTCATTTTCTTCGCAAAACAAATGTCACAGAAATGGGTGGTGATGAGTTTAAGTTACGGCTTCCTTGTGGACTTACTCAGGGGTCATCAATCACATTTATCGGCATACCAAAGGGTCTTCTTGGTAATTTTCGGATCGATTTAACTGGTGAACCACTTCCCGGGGAACCCAATCCTCCTATAATTTTGCATTACAATGTTAGGATGCATGGGGATAAAGTAACAGAGGATCCTGTAATTGTTCAAAACACCTGGACCATTGCACATGATTGGGGTGAGGAGGAACGTTGTCCATCTACTGCTCCTGAAAAGAATAAGAAGGGTAACTCAATTTCCTTTCTGTTTTAAGTTTTAAATTTCTGGATGCATGGATCTGTACCTCTTAGATGATACCAGCTCTCAGCAGTTTTCTTCTGATTTTTTTTTGTCACAAGCATTGATATGAATTATTACTATTAATTTTCTTCAAATTGATCTTTTTTTTTGGTTAGCTAACCCCAAAAATATTTTGGGACTAAGGCTTGGATGTTGTTGATCTTTTTTATTGTTGCCTTGATTGAGCAAATATTTTTTTTTTGGATGAACTGTAAGTATTGAGCAAATATTTTTTTATGTAGATCTTGTGCTGTATAGGTGACTTCTAAAACTAACAGTTTTTTTTTTTGTTAACTATGCATTTGAGTTAGAATAACATATACAAGGACGTAGTTACTCTATACCAAAAATTATTTAATTGGCTATAATATAAATTGAATGTATTTTAAATGAGTAAAAAGTGTATGTATTACTCTCTCCGTCCCATAAAATTCTTCCCACCTACCATTTTGGGATGTCCCAAAAAATTCTCCCCATTTCCCTTTTTGGAACGTTTTGTGTGGCTAACATTCATTTACCCTTTTCTTACTCGACCACAACCATACATTTCCACTTTATTCCACTTTCTCAAACTCTGATCCAAGTCAAACCGGGAAGAATTTTATGGGACGGTGGGAGTATAATATTTTTACATATGTGATCACCAAAGCTCAATCTAACTTGATCAATGAGAATCCTGATATATGTTTCATTAAGATAATTATTAACTTCTCATGTATTATATAAGATGCTCTTTTGTACATAAGTTATGGAAAAAATACAGCTTCGCCAAGATAAGCTACCACTTTGATACTAAAACCTAGTAAAATTTAGCTATGATATGTTAGGATGTATATGTCATATGTGTGTGTGACGAGTCAATATTGCTTGTGGCAAACATGTCTGAAATATTCACAATTTCTGCTGAGTTGTAAATGCCTTGGTGGATCAAATATTTTCATTTCCAAACTTGTGGAATTTGAAATCTGTGGAAATTAATAACTGCGAAATAAACATGGGTATGTTTTAGGAATTAGGGGGAAATGAAATTAAATTCCTGTCAACCAAACATGCTGCAATTGTTTCGCTAAATGTTTATATTAAATGATGTCATGTCTTAATTTTAAAAAATGTTTGTATTTGTAGAGAAAGGTGCAGTCAGGTTCTTAGATTTCGTAGGTTGGGTATCTTTAGCCTTTTCAAGTTTTTCACATGTTTGTTTTTCTCTTTCACCAACTTATAAAAAATGTAAGCTTCAGTGTGCCACTTGGCTTACATGACAATTAGAGAGATCCAGTTGCTTTATGATCAAATGCTGGATGTAATTTTATAGGGAAATTTCTTTAAATAGGAGTAAACAGGTTTTGGAATTCCAAAATAGGACTGCTATGCTTTTCTTCACGAAATAGGAGTCGTTCCTCTCATGATTGAAAAATACTGTCATTAATGATAGTAGATACTGTCATGTTACTCCTATTTTGAGAAGAACAACATAGCAGTCCTATTTTGGAATTCCAAAACTTGTTTAGTCCTATCTCGAGAACTTTCCCAATTTTATATTCTTGCACTACTAAGCCCCCCCTCCCCCCCAGTTTTAAAATATTTTTTGCAAGCATCATGTATTTTTTAAAAATGATTTGCATACTGTCTTACTCAATGCCTCTACTAATCTTATTATTTAGTGGATGACTTGGATCAATGCAATGAGGTGGTGGGTAAAATCATGGCAGACAGACATATCAATATATCAACAAAATCTTCAATGGTTCAGGATGGATCTAAACAGAGAAAGTATTTTCCTTTCAAGCAAGGGCAACTCTCTGTTGTGACATTGAGAGTCGGATCAGAAGGAATACAAATGACAGTTGACGGTAGACACATAACATCATTTTCATTTCGCGAAGTAATTCCTCGCTTGCCTTTTATGATTGAACAACCATCAGTTAAATGCAATGTTATGCTAGATTAAGTTCTTTTTTGATATGTATTCACTCAGACTTTAGAGCCATGGCTTGTAAGTGAAGAGAGGATTTCAGGAGATATTGAATTAATATCAGTTGTTGCGAGTGGATTACCCACTTCGGAAGATATAGAGCATATGATTGACTTAGAAGCCCTGAAGGCGGTCCCACTTTCTCCACATAAACACATAGATCTCTTTATCGGTGTGTTTTCTACTGCAAACAATTTTAAGCGGAGGATGTCAGTTCGGAGAACGTGGATGCAGTATGATGCAGTGCGGTCTGGACAAGTTGCAGTTCGTTTTTTTGTTGGGATGGTAAGCGTCTCTTCTCGTGTGCATGATGTTTTTCTCCTTAACATATCAGTTTACTGCATATAAATTAATACGAGTATTATACAATTAATTAGTAAATGTTTTAAGTGCAAAACTAACATTTTGCAAATGCCGTTTAGCAAAACTAATATTGAGCTGTATGAGATGAACGTCTCATATACGGTTCTCAGAAGGGGGAGTTTAACCTATCTCAATAAAGTCTACGTCATTGGTAAACTACACATGCTTCGTATACTTGAGTAAATGTTTTCGTAACACGTTGTGTACTCATGTAGCATCATTCATAACTTGATGCTACCAATCCCAACCAGTTGGTATTAAGGTGTTGATGATGATGATGACGGCTACTACTAATACATTCGAACATCCTGAGTCATAATACACAATAAGTAGTACTAGCTACCAAGCTCATTGTCAGTAAAAACTGAGTGCCTTTCACATATATAATGAAAAAGCAATTTAGATATTCCATAGAAGAGGAAATGTGACCATTTACTGTTAGTGTATTATCATTTATGTGAATAAACATCATGGTGCAATGTGACTGGCAGTCATACTGGAATTTGCTAAATCAAAGCCATATTGTTTTTGTATGGTCCACTAGCATAAAAACCAGATGGTGAATGAGGAACTCTGGAATGAGGCTAGGACATATGGAGACATTCAGTTGGTGCCATTTGTTGACTACTACAGCCTAATCACATGGAAGACGGTTGCCATATGCACCTTTGGGGTAATATTATATCCCTCCCTGAGTAAAGGAGCTTTTCAAAATTCTCGTTAACATAATTTATTTGGCAGACGGAGATCGTTCAAGCTAAATTTGTCATGAAGACAGATGATGATGCTTTTGTTCGTGTAGATGAAGTGTTGGCTTCTCTACAAAGGATTGGTGTGACTCGTGGATTGCTTTATGGCCTAATTAATTCAGACTCCCATCCTCATCGAGATCATGATAGCAAGTGGTACATTAGTGCTGAGGTACTTTCTACATCACTGTCTTATCTCTAAAGATCAATTGCATGGTTGAAACGGTGAAGTCCCGATGCTATTAAATTGAGCTTAAATTATCATTTCGTTAATTATCCTTCAAAATCCTTCAAATTGGGGGAACTTAAAAATTGAGCATTTAGAGGGGTTTGGAGGGTTACAATTTACAAAAGCCTTCCAAAATCATCCCCTCTAATTCTTTTTTTTTGGCAGAAAAACAACATCTCCACATTAATTAATCAAATCGTTAGCCACATGGCTCATAATACAATCAGGACTAAAATCATAAACATTTTTTTGATCCGGTAGTAACACGCCTTGCCTTGCCAAAACATGAGCAACGCGGTTCGCGGACCAATGGCAAAAAGAGAGACTAAAATTTCTCTTTGTTTTCACGACACCTCGTATATCATCAATCAACAAGTCAAGATAGGAGAGCCCTTTCTCGCCCCGCACTCCTTGCACCACTACTAGGGCATCAGACTCGAACTCAACGCATTCCCAACCTTCCCGGACAGCAGCTGCCATGGCCTCCCTAACTCCCATTGCCTCCGTTTCAGTCGGGCTCCAATCAACTCGCTTTGAATCCCCTCTAATTCTTTAAACTCTAAAACATGAAAAGGAGAGTCATAAACCCCTCTCAACCTTTCCCTCCCCTCCAAAACTCATTCCAATCTTGTTTGGGAGTTTAGAAAATTGACCTCTCCTATCTTGTTTGGGAGTTCAGAAAATTGAAAGGAATAGTTTTGGAGGGTTCTTGTGACCCTTCAAAACCCTTCAAATGCCTACTTTTTAAGTTTCCCCAAATTGGGGGATTTTGAAAGATAAATATTTAAGTGATAACTTTAACCTAATTAAAAATGAATATAAATTCAACTATTTATATTCGTCATATCTTTAAAGTGATTTTAATTATAAATCCTCCTTAGCCCCTCTCTAGTCTATTCAAATTTGCAACTCCTAAACAAGAAGAAGAGTTTCCACCCTAGAAAAAAATGTACACAATGCATTACTTTTTTCATTATCACCTGATTCTGTTAGCAGCTTAGCACAAGCATGCAGCAAATAATTAGTGTTTCACAAAAGTTGGGCTCATAACACATAAACAAAAAATATGTCACCAAAGGCACTTAGGTTGCTCAGTTGGTTTTCTGTAAGCTTGTCTTTTGATAACCCCGACTCCCCGAGACGTGTTTAACAACTTACTAGTCATTTCTTGCCCTGGTGGCTTGATTGGATTTTGGCATAACACTTTTGGTAATACTATTTGTTATTTTCATTTCTCATTTTATTTGTAATCTTATACATGCACTGGTTATCTAATGTTTTTCAAGGAATGGCCTGATGATGCTTATCCTCCTTGGGCACATGGACCTGGCTATGTTGTGTCAAGTGATATAGCAAAATCCGTCAGCATGATGCACAAGAAAGGGCTTCTAAAGGTGCGGGAAGCAACCAATCTGTATCTCTTAATTTCACCAACATCACACTGACTTTACTTTTGGCTGAAGCGTCTATGTGTAGTTAACTACTTAATTGTATATTGAAATGGCAAGTTTAAATGTTAAGAAAACGTCAAAATGCAGATGTTTAAGCTTGAAGATGTTGCTATGGGGATCTGGATAGCCGAACTGAAGAAGAAAGGTCTGGAAGTTAGGTATGAGAATGAGGAGAGAATTTTTAACGAAGGCTGCAAAGACGGTTTTGTTATTGCACACTATCAAGATCCTAGAGAGATGCTGTGTTTATGGCAGAAGCTACAAGAGAAGAAGCGTGCTTTATGTTGTGGCGACTAACCCCCATCACACTCCTAAGGTTTTTACAGTGTAAAAGGAAACAACACCCACCCTGAAATTTTGAAGGTAACAAGCTTAACAGGTATTTGAATGCTTCTTGAATTATGACAGTTTAGTTATATCACAATTCACACATATATTAGGCGATGCAAGGGGGTCATGGTAGTTCACATGCATCCGTATCTACGATGATCTATGTGATTGTGACATACCGGAGCTTCAATAGTAACTCCCACGTTTATTACAAGGAATGTCCAGATTGAGTTAAACCGACCTTTTTCATCTTCTGAACTGTTGTTGTAACCTTACAGTGGATGAAAACTGCATTAAAATGTATGTATAGGAGATTTTGAGTAGAGAAGAGTTCACTGTGCAGTCTGTGCCTGACTTGTGTATATATCGGCCTATGCATACATATGCCCTCCTTATTCCTAGGCTCTATAACTCACTTCATACCCACCTTTTCATACTTAGAGGTTGAATTATTATACGAGTATAATCAATAAAAACTTCACTCTCCATTTTTTACTCTTTTCTGTATCATAATTCATATCTCTATCATAAATATAATTACTCCGTATGATTCTATTCTCCGGCTAGTAAGCGTTGTTTTAACAACTAAAATTCATTCTTATTATTAATCGCCCGTTTTATGTCGCTCAGTTTTTTTTGGAATTCTGGTTTTAAAAGATATACTGATGTTATAAGCGTACTATGTATAGTGATCTTAATGGTGGTCATAAATGTACTATGTATGTTAATTTGAAGACGATCAACAAAAAATGAAACTCAACGTTTCCCGATTTTTACATTTTTAGTTTCCAAAAACACAAAATCTGTAAAATCATATTGGTCAATCAGTCAATGTTTATCCACATCCTCGCGAAACATTAAAAAAACTAAGGTAAAATATTACTAATAAATAAGTTGTGAACAAAATTGTGACTTAGTAACTATTGGTAATTATAATTGGGTTAAAGTTACTATGATGTAAACTTTGAACATAATTATAAAGAAAAATTGACAAAATTTTAAGGATCGGAGGGAACATTATATATATATATATATAGAGTACTCATCTGGTCAGGAATTCTTGACCGGAACTGCCATCCGGACGGCGGTGTTTGGCCGCCTTCCGGGTGGAATTTTTTGATGAAATTTTTATGACATGTTCTCCATCAAGTCTAGTTTATCCACAAAAAATTTCAGCCAAAAACTCATTCGGGAAGGTCGTCAAATGATTTTTGCAAGTTAACTAGTTCGGAATATACTGATGTTATAAGCGTACTATGTATAGTGATCTTAATGGTGGTCATAAATGTACTATGTATGTTAATTTGAATACGATCAACAAAAAATGAAACTCAACGTTTTCCGAACCAGTTAACTTGCAAAAATCATTTGACGACCTTCCCGAATGAGTTTTTGGCTGAAATTTTTTGTGAATAAACTAGACTTGATGGAGAACATGCCATAAAAATTTCATCAAAAAATGCCACCGGGAAGGCGGCCAAACGCCGCCGTCCGGACGGTGGTTCCTGTCTGGAATTCTGGACATGAACATTTGTGTGTGTATATATATATGACAAAAATCAAATCAACTTAGATTAATGAAGTCATGGTTCAAGGAAGAAAACGATACAATCAGGAGGAAAGTTACGCCAAACATAGCGACTAGACATAGAACCCGCAGCCTTAGCCAAATCATGGGCTACTCGGTTCACTGACCGCCTTACATGGGTAAATTTAATGCCAGAAATACTAGCTGATAGCTCTCTAATATCATCAATAATAATCCCAAAAGTCGGAGTCATTTGATTCTTCGTAATAGCCTTAACAAGTTGAAGTGCAACTGATTCCATATCAACATTAGTCCAACCCGCTTCTTTGATCTAGCTAAGAGCCTCCCGCATTGATAGCGTTTCAGCCTCTCGTGGTAAGCACTCTCCCACTCGATTCAGGGCACCTCTGGTGATGAAAAGTCCGTCACTTCCCCGCGCCACCCAAGCCAAACCAACACATTCTGCTCCCTTCCTAACAGTGGCATCAGTATTAACTTTAATTCTCTCCTCCATAGGTCTTTCCCACCTGCTTAGAATCTTCTCCAACCTTCCATGAAACCCAAAGCTCCTGCTACAATGCTCCCTGGTGGTGTAGTTACATGATTCCACAAAATATCATTCCGAGCTCTCCAAAGGCCCCAAAGAAGCATTATAAAGCTGCTGCATAACTCCTCATTATGCCTAATGAAAATATTTTCAATCCACTCCATGAAAACTATTATCTGTAAAGGAGAAATCCCATTTCATTATCCTCCAGATCTGCTTTGCTACAAGACAGCAACCAAAAGTGTGAAGCATATTCTCTGTACTCGTTAAACAAGAGGGGCATATCTGTGAACATTCCACTCTTCTAGCTGCAAGGTTATCCGCCGTGGGTAGATATCCGACACACACCTGCCAAAAGAATACCTTCACCTTTGGAGGAATCTGAAATCTCCACATGCTAGACCAGCTGCACTCTTGCAAATCCCCGCTGCTACTCATCAAAAGCTTATAGCTACTCCTAATCGAATACTTGCCATTTTCCTCCCATAGCCAAACGATTCGATCTGGGATATTTCTGTCACTCAATGGAATAGCAAGGATCAAGCTTTGATCCCTATTATTAAACAAATCAATTAAAATATCAGGATCCCATTCAAGCCTATCTGATTTCATTAATCCCGCTACAATGGAGTTTTCTAACCCCTGTATAGGAACAGACTCCACCCGAGGATTAGTATAACTTGGTAGCCAAGAATCTTGCCATATCCTAATTGATTCCCCATTTCCCGCCCGCCATCTGCAGCCTTTTTTTTTAATCAAAGGTTGGGTCTCCCATAAACTCCTCCAAATGAAGGATGGGTTACTCCCTATTTTAGGGTTGGTTTGCAAATGCTTTTAAAAAGCACTTCTCAGCTTTTGGCTTAAAAAACACGTATTTTACCAAACACTACCAACTTTTATTTTTCTCGACTTTCGTGTCAAAAATGTTTTTACTTTTTCTATTACACAAAAAGCACTTATTTTACCAAACACTACCAACTTTTACTTTTCAAAATCACTTTTTTCTCAAACACTATCAACTTTTATTTAATTACTTCTCCTCATTTCATTAAAAAAGCATTTTTTTAAAAGCAGAAGCTGTTGCAAACAGACCCTTAGCATCAATAAAAGAAGACCGGGGAAAATACCTTGCCTGGAACACTTTAGCTACCAGTAAGTGTGGTGTCGTGTATATCCTCCAAGCCTACTTCCCTAACATAGCTCATAGCTAAGTTGAACTCCCGCAACCTTCTAAAACCCATCCCACCAAACTTTTTAGGAATACACACCCTGCAGTCTTTCCACCTCAAATCCACGTCCCACGAGAGTTGTTAAATTTAAATTGCTACTCATGCCCTAGAGCCTCATATAGTCACATAAGACCAAATTAATGCATTTTAAACAAAAATTAATTATATTTAATCTCAAAGGGAAACTGTCAAATAGGTCCTCGAACTTTCATAAAAAAGTCAATTAAGTCCTTTTATAGGACTCTGTCCGGTCGTCGCGATTTGGGACGGTTCCTGGTGGAATTTTTTGATGAAATTTTATGAGCATCTTATTTATCAAGTCTAGTTTACTCATACCAAATTTCAGCTAAAAATTTAATCGGGAGCGCATTCAAATTAATTCGAGAACGCAAAAATGCGCAGTTATCTTCAAGAATTAATTTGAATGTGTTCCCGATTGAATTTTTAGTTGAAATTTGGTATGAGTAAACTAGACTTGGTGAATAAGATGCTCAAAATTCCACCGGGAACTGCCCCAAATCGCGACGACCGGACAGAACCTCCTATAGAAGGACTTAATTGACCTTTTTATGAAAGTTCGAGGACCTATTTGATAGTTTTCCCAATCTCAAACTATACCAAACGTTCAAACTAAGTATAAACAAATAAAAAGTTACATTTTTGTCCACCATTTTTTCTGAAGTATTATTAATGATTTTATTTTTCCCAAAAAGCAATTGTGGTTGCTTCGTTTTATACAAGTTTCGTTGGGGTTTAATAAATAATTTTTGTTTGGTTTAATAAAGGGAAAGTTCCTGAAATAGGAGTAAATAAGTTTTGGAATTTCAAAATAGGATTAACAAGACAATATTTATTGCCATCTTGTAGTCATTATTGACGAATAGTTGCAGTATTAGGCATTGCACATGATAATATTTACTATTAATAATAACATTACTAGTACTTTTACCCGCGCGTTGCACGGGGTGATCACTTTTATTCATGGAATCATGGTAGCTATTGAACTGGTACTTAATCCACAGTTATAAGAAGGGGAAATTATTATTAGCCCCGTGAGGTTATGCCATAATTATTAATGCAACTTTGCATTTTCAAAAATCAATTAGTAACCCCCTAAGTTTTGATCATTTTCATTGTCTGCCCCCTCACATTAATATTTATTAAATTAAATATAATATAACTCTTAAATTCAATAAAAAATATAACTATAAATTTAAATTTTAATGTAATTTACAATTTATTATCATAATTATAAGTAGTCATTGTTATTGTTTACCGTTATTTTTATGCTTAGCTACTCAACCGTGTAATAATGAATGTAGTTGAGCGAGAAGACCCACGACTAAGATATAAAATTAGTAGTAATTTATAATATTTATTTAAAAAAATAAATATCATTTAATCTTATTAAATTAATATAATGAACTTTTTGTGAAGAAGAAATCATCAAAATTAGTAATAGAATTAATAAAAAAAATTAAACAAATCAAAATCTATGATATATATTTTACTTCTTAGATTGATAGATTTCACTTATTCAGGCCCTATATCGATACATTTTTGTCTTTTAGGTCTCTTATTAATACTAGATCTTTTAGGTTATGAATTGATAAAATTCATTTTTTTGTTCTTTGCTACACACGAAATAAGTGTCATTGGTTCTCTGTCTTAACTACTTTGATCAATATTTATTCCACGATCGAGTAGCTAAGTAGAAGAATAACGATAAAAAACAATGACTCCAAATTATGATAATAAATTGTGTTTTACTTTAAAAAATAATTTCACAGACAATTTTCATTGAATTTATGATTTATATTAAATTTAATTTAACAAATATTAATATGAGGGGGCATATAGTGAGAATGATAAAAACTCAGTGGGTAACTAATTGATTTTTGAAAATGCAAGGTTGCATTAATAATTATGCCATAACCTCAGGGGGCTGATAATAAATTAGTCTAAAATTATTTCTATATTATAAAAATCAAATCGGAAGCGACCCGGCTACTGAGCGGGTCATGGTAGAAAATCGGGTGGGTCAACTCAGTCACTGCTAGAAAACCGGTCAATATTAATATAATAATAAACATATACCTATATATAAAACTAAACTAAAAAATAAATATATTCGTATAATAATCAAGTAATGATAATACGGAGCATTAGGTAAGTATTTAAAACACTTAGAGC